TCCTCCTCCGGCGGCCGGCCCCGGCCAGCACTCTTGGGGTCGTCTCGCGGACATCAACCCTCCTCCCCAGCCGGGCAACCCGTTTGATCAACGAGGAGAGCAGTTCCGCGGCCCTGCGCCCCCGCTTCGTCAGCCAAGCCCTCCTCGTCAGGAGCAGCACGCGCGCCCTCAGTATCCTGAGACCAGCCGTCCTGGCTCGGTTCGCCGGGGGCCTACTCCCCCTCCTCCTGTCCACTATTCGTCTGGCCCTCCTCCCCCTCCTCAGTCTCACCAGGCTCCGACCTCGCAGCCGCGGGTGCCTAACCCCAACTATGTCCCTACGCCTTCCTCGGCACAAATGCCATCAATGAACCCTGGCCCGAACGGAGGACCGCCACCCAGTCAACCCCCCTTCCGCGGTGCCAATAGCCCAAGGCCTGGAGAGCGTCCCATCCACGAGAACCGCATGCCTTCGCCCAAGTCGGCTTACCCCCAGCACCAGCCTCCTCCTCCCCCCGCTCCTTATGGACACCACCCAGAGGGACCCGGTACGCCGCTGGAGGGCCCGCAGCAGCAAGCACCGGCTCTCATGTCAGCCGAACCGGCGCCACGAAGCGAACATGATCGACCAGCGTCAGTTGGACCTAAGCGCATGCGCGAGTGGGAGGAGGAGTCGACGCACAAGCGTCCCGCCAACGATGAGAGCAGAGCCCGTCTTGACGACGTCCGTCCTCGCAGGCCTTCAACTCCTCCCGGTCCACGCGAGCCATATAGGCGAAACTCATCTGAAGCTCGCCGATTCGATGACCAACGTCGCCTCGATGACCAGCGTCGGGCGGACGACCAACGTCGGGTGGACGACCAGCGGAGGCAAGACGATCAACGGAGGCAAGACGACATGCGCAGAGCCGAGGAACAACAGCGCCAGCCTCAGAACGATGGATATCATCCCTCTGATGCCGCTCACCACCCGCCTGGTCAGCCGTTGTCCGCCAACCATCTGCCACCCATGCAAGCGTCAGCCGCACCGATGCAAGGCGTGGTTCACGGCAGCCCTGTCCAGAACGCGCCGCCTGCTCCTCCATCAAAGGAGTACGCTGCCGCCGAGGAACGTCCTGCACCTGAGCAGGCTCCTCCTGTGCGCTCTGCTGCCCCGAGCGAGCCCGAGCGGGCTGCTCGCAAGATGGACGTTGATGAAGATTACGACGATAGTGGCGAGGATGAGAAGAAGGTCCCGCCAGCGACCACGAATGGATCAGGCCCCGCGCCGGCTGCGGGCGAGACCAAGCCGCCCACAAGCGGCAGCGTCAATGGGTCGTTGGGGCCTCAGCCTAAGGTTGAGTCCACCTAATGCAAGAATCAAAGGCCTGACTGGCCGAGTTGTGTTTTCTTTTGTCCGTCTTTCGTACCGATTCCCTTTCATTGCCTTGTATACCACTTCATTATTACAGACCAGCTCTCTCGAGAAGGCTTTCGTTTGACGAGGACTCGGCGCACGACGGCTTATCTCGACAGTTTCACGAATGAATATAAATCAAAGATCAGTTTCGCTGCTTTCTGTCTACAGGACTGAGCTGTGTATGATGTGTGACCAGGAGTGATCTTGTAGTTGGTTGGTCACGTGAGGATAATTGGAGAGACGAACCGTCGGCGGGACGCTAGTGGGCTCTAGCTCTGACAACTGGACCACTCGCACAGAGCCACCCCACCAAGTCAAGAAAAGTAAGGCACACGTGACTAGGGTACCCGAGCCAGCCGCCAATCGAGTGCACCAAACACCACTGAGCAGGAGCAAAACTCCAAAGTGGGTCGGTCTAGGGCTTTTTTTCTCGCAGTGGCTGCCCTCCCATCTAGTCGTCTTTTGCGAACCACCATCTAGACACCCTCTTCCTCATACCTCTCCGATTGATCACCCTCACAACCCACGAGATCAGTCGCCCAACATGTCTCACCGAAAGTACGAGGCCCCTCGCCACGGTTCGCTGGCGTATCTGCCGCGCAAGCGTGCCGCCCGTCACCGCGGAAAGGTCAAGTCGTAAGTTGCAACGTTCCCCGGGAAGAAGAATATCGGCTGGTCCGCTGGAAGAGAAAATCAAAGTCTCTGACATGTCGACTTTCGCGCAGCTTCCCCAAGGATGACCCCAAGAAGCCCGTCCACCTGACGGCCACCATGGGCTACAAGGCTGGCATGACCACCATTGTCCGCGACCTCGACCGTCCCGGCGCGAAGGCCCACAAGAAGGAGGTCGTTGAGGCCGTGTCCATCATTGATACCCCCCCTGTACGAGCAACGCAGCCCGCTTGGCTTGAGTGCCTATGGCTAACATCTTCTAGATGGTCGTTGTTGGTATCGTGGGCTACATCGAGACTCCCCGCGGTCTGCGCTCGCTCACCACCGTCTGGGCCGAGCACCTGAGCGACGAGGTCCGTCGTCGCTTCTACAGGAACTGGTACAAGTCCAAGAAGAAGGCCTTCACCAAGTACGCCAAGAAGCACTCCGAGTCCAGCGGCGCCTCCATCACCCGCGAGATTGAGCGCATCAAGAAGTACTGCTCCGTCGTCCGTGTCCTTGCCCACACTCAGATCCGCAAGACGCCTCTCAAGCAGAAGAAGGCCCACCTTATGGAGATCCAGGTCAATGGTGGCTCCGTTGCCGACAAGGTCGACTTCGGCTACGGTCTCTTCGAGAAGGAGGTGTCTGTCGACACCATCTTCGAGCAGGACGAGATGATCGATGTCATCGCCGTTACCAAGGGTAAGGGTTTCAACGGTGTCACCTCCCGTTGGGGCACCAAGAAGCTTCCTCGCAAGACCCACAAGGGTCTGCGTAAGGTCGCCTGTATCGGTGCCTGGCACCCATCCCACGTCCAGTGGACTGTTGCCCGTGCTGGTCAGATGGGTTACCACCACCGTACCTCGGTCAACCACAAGGTTTACCGCATCGCCAAGGCCGGTGCCGAGGACAGCGCCTCCACCGAGCTCGATGTCACCAAGAAGGTCATCACTCCGTACGTTCTCCCCGTTCCACATGTCTCACCAAAAAACGTGTTCGCTAACATGACCCCAGCCTCGGTGGCTTCGTCCGCTACGGCGAGATCAACAACGACTTCGTCATGGTCAAGGGCTCCATCCCCGGCCCCAAGAAGCGTGTTGTCACTCTCCGCAAGTCCATGTTCGTCCACACCTCGCGCCGTGCCAACGAGAAGATCACCCTCAAGTGGATCGATACCTCGTCCGAGTTCGGACACGGCGCCTTCCAGACGCCCGCGGAGAAGAAGCAGTACCAGGGTACTCTCAAGAAGGACCTCGTCGCTGCGTAAAAAGTCTTTCGACAGCTGGGGGTTTTCTTGTATCTGGGTCATTGCAAAGGTGTCGAGGGTTCTTTCTCGCGCTTATCGGGACGGTTTGGGGCATTCAAAACGGTTGACTTGAGGAGCCACGAACCCAAGAACGAAGAAAGGAATGATATCCCATGAATAATGCTTGAGCGTGAAGTGAAAATAATGTGTGTTCTCGAGTGTAACTGATGTGTAATTTGATTATGACGCTGCCCGAAATGCATCTCAACCCACATGTTGGACATGAGCATTGTCAGTGTGGGTCATCTGCTCGCCGTGGTGTCGCCCGAGAAATCTGGACCAGTGGGAAGAGGTTGCGTCATTCCACCCAAGCAAGGCTGCTTGCTGCACCACCCACCCTTCCATCATGGCTGCTGTCTACCTTCCCAAGCTCCCCTCTTCTGCAACAACAATCTCTGCGATACGATTCACGTCGACACTCCGAAGTATTCCATCTCTCTGCTCGACACGAATAAGAGCTATCTCGCAGTCGCTCATTCCTCTCCAACCTGTCCCTTCTCGATCCCGGCGGAACATCACCACGACCTCTTTCGCAGCCTTCCACGCAACACCCCGCACCATGGGCTCCGACGAAGACTACATGGCTTTCCTCGACAAGGCGAACGAGGACCCCTCTGCCGGTCGTGCCAAGCAGGCCAGCGCTCCCGGAGGCGGCGCCCAGCTCAAGGCGCAGGACAACGGCGTCGAGGTGCCTGAGGCGATCGCGGCACAGCTCAAGGGCGGGGACAAGATCTACGTGTCCGAGGCGGACGAGCCCTTCGAGGGCGTCGCGCTCAGCTGGAGCAAGGGGTTGCCTGACGAGGGTAGGTTCTGCTCTTTCGTCTATACGAACCGGACAATGAGAATGCTAATGCAAGAGTGCAGTACAATTCGCAGAGCTAGTAGAGCACCCAGAGCCGAAAGACGCGGAGGTTGAGATCCTGGATCCCTTCGACTGGGACTCTGAGGGCAACTACCAGGAGCTGATCGAGGCAGTGAGGGAGGCGAGCAAGGGGAACGATGTGAGGGTGTACAAGATTTCGCGAGGCGGGGCGAGGTTTGAGTACTGGGTCCTGACGGCGCTCGGCGAGGGCAAGGATGGCAGATTGGTCGGCGCCAAGGCACTGTCGGTCGAGTCTTAGACTAACAATGTTGGGGAGCGGTTGAAAGGTCGATGTCAAGTGTTACTAGCACAAAGTGATGGGTTCGTCGTGGATTTGTTCACACATGTTGTGCCTTGTCGCAAGACACAGTGATGGCGTCCGGCAGTGTGGTTTCATTTAGCATCACTTCTGGCTAGAAACTCGGAGGAGACGCAGGTTATCATGTACATGCAAGACAGTCCGTCCCCGTGGCTTTCTCCATCTTCCAAAACACCATACGTAAATCATCATCTCGACCAGTCTCTCGGTGTGGTCCCCACCCCCAGAAGGCCTTGGTGGTGGGCCCGGCAGCTGTCCCTCCGCTTATCGCCGTTATCGGGCAAATCGTCTAGCCACGACCCCTCCAACAACTGGCACGTCCGGAAATCTTTCAACGGCAGTAGACAGCGTCGTAATGAGTCAAAGGTTAACACCGCCTCATCTGCCGCGTACCCCTTAGAGCCTCCCCTCGAGGCCAGATCACCATGGCTGTTTCTGTAAAACCTCACCCTATGCTAATTGACCCCGAAACCCACTGACCATGTCTTCCCAGCGCGGTGTCATACCCTCACTCGAGACGGTGAGGAGCATCGTCGACGCTCCGGCACCATCCTCCGGCAAGAAGCCCAACCTCATTCCTGTCTACCGTCAGATCACCTCCGACCTCATTACCCCGTCAGCTGCCTACTTGAAGGTGTCGGCCCACAACCCCGACTCGGACTACTCATTTCTCTTCGAAAGCGCCGCCACTGAGCGTGTGGGTCGATACAGCTTCGTCGGTGCTGGGCCACGAAAGGTCCTCGCCACAGGTCCTGGCTTTGGTCCAGAATGCGATCCATTGCCAGCCCTCGAGGCTGAGCTTGCCCAGTATACTGTCGCCCATGTTCCAGGCTTGCAGCTTCCGCCTATGACCGGCGGTGCCATTGGGTATGCGTCATATGATCTCGTCCGATACTTTGAGCCCAAGACGGCGCGGACAATGAAGGATGTTCTCCAAATCCCCGAGAGCTTGTTCATGCTGTTCGACACGATTGTGGCTTTTGATCGCTTCTATGGCATCATCAAGGTCATCACATTTTTGCATGTTCCCGAAGATCCCACCCAAATCGAGGCCGTGTACGAAGCCGGCAAGAACACCATCGAGGAGCTCGTCGCGGTCCTCAACGCTCCCGATATTCCGCTTCCCGAGCAGGGCCCCATCAAACTGGGCCACGAATACACCTCCAACATTGGCCAGGCCGGCTACGAGGGCCACGTCCGCGCCCTCAAGAAGCATATCGTCAAGGGCGACATTATCCAGGCCGTGCCCTCCCATCGCCTCGCGCGCCCGACGTCACTGCACCCCTTCAACATATATCGCCACCTGCGCACCGTCAACCCGTCGCCCTACCTGTTCTACATCAACTGCCGCGACTTCCAGATCGTCGGCGCCTCGCCGGAGCTGCTCGTCAAGTCGGAGAACGGCCGCGTCATCACGCACCCCATCGCCGGCACCGTCAAGCGCGGGCGCACGCCCGAGGAGGACGAGCGCCTCGCCGACGAGCTGCGCAGCTCGCTCAAGGACCGCGCCGAGCACGTCATGCTCGTCGACCTCGCGCGCAACGACGTCAACCGCGTCGGCGACCCGCGCACCGTCAAGGTCGACCACCTCATGGTTGTCGAAAAGTTCAGCCACGTCCAGCACCTTGTCAGCCAGGTCTCGGGCGTGCTGCGCCCGGACCAGACCCGATTCGACGCCTTCCGCAGCATCTTCCCTGCCGGCACCGTCAGCGGCGCCCCCAAGGTGCGCGCCATGGAGCTCATTGCCGAGCTCGAGGGCGAGAAGCGCGGCGTCTACGCCGGCGCCGTTGGCTACTTTGGCTACGGCGGCCTTGACGACAAGGGCGACGACGTCGAGGGCGCCATGGACACGTGCATTGCGTTGAGGACCATGACGGTCAAGGACGGCGTGGCGTACCTGCAAGCCGGTGAGTCTACCTACTCTTCCCTTTCGCTTTTTCCCACCCCGAGGAAGTCACAACGGTATATGCTAACATGGCCGTTTAGGCGGCGGCATCGTCTTTGACTCAGACGAGACGGACGAGTGGATTGAGACGATGAACAAGCTCGGCGCGAATATCAACTGTGTCACTACAGCTGAGGAGCTATACTATGAGCAGCAGCAGGAGGAGGCTAGCAAGGCGTAGAATACCAAACTTTCGATTTACCTCCACGATAAGTTGACCAGATTGCATGCGCGGACGCGACAAGGAGGACGGAATTTCGCTTCCTAGGTGCTCCTACCACAGGGGGGGGGGGCGGGTGGCTCGGGTGGTTGGACCCACGCAGTTCGGAAAAGATTCTGCCTGCGGCCACCGCCCTCGGCACCACTATAAAGCCAGCTCGATTCTCGTCCTCCTTCTCTTCTTGACCTTCTTTTCCTTTCTTCATACTTACCTTGTTCAGTCGAGAGAAGATCATGAATTTCTCTCGGCAAAGAGGATGGCCTACATTGCACAACGTGGAGTCGGCCTCTTTCGATTGTCCTTCGGGGCCATCGTGGGCGGAATTTTTGATTTACAACCTTGTTTTCATTGCTACAGCTGCCTTGCGCGGCTTGGTGAAGAAGATGCTGCTCGGTCATAAGCTGGTCGGAGCTGGCATGGCGAGGGGGTCGATGGGGCCCGTTCGGCTACTTGCGCGTTGCCTTGAAAATCTTTAGATAGACCTGTCCTGGTGGTTTCAAAGTATCTTCATGATGAACGAAGGAATGGCATTATTTTCAATTGCCATGGCCACTTGATACGATGCGTGCTTGCCTGCCTCGGACGCGTGCTGTCAGCATCCCAGTGTTCTTTACGCATTTCTTGTAGCATATGTACGTCAACCACACCAGGGAAGCTGCGTCGTGACCACCACATATGTCCGCTTCAGGACGGCACAGCGCGCGCCGTACTGTCAGTGCTACCCACAGGACAACCTGAGTACCTTAATCGAATGGAGACCATGTTGCCGTGTGAATCTGGAAGACTGGTCAGTTGCTGACGACTTGCCAAAAGTCAGCACGCCATCAGCTCGCGGTCGTGAAGTGCGCCCCAATATCACGACGGCAGTCGTCGGTCATCACGGTAACTTGATCACAGCATGAGGTGTATAGACTCAATTACTCTATCGGCCTATCATCAGCCGCTGCCTCAGACAGCACGTCCGCAACCAGCGTCGGACACGAATCCCGTCTTCGCGCACCCATCAAGTCCCAGCCATAACGCGTAACAGTGGTGCCTCAGACACCTTGCTCATCGCACTCGTGCCAACTGCCTCGTGACACCAATACCGGAACGCCCACAAATCTCCCCGCCAGTATGTCCGCCACACGTCGTATGTACACAAACCCTCTAACGCCATAGTGAAAACAGAAACTCAATGACCAACCGCTCCTTTATCTAGGGTATCAGGACCGGGGTATCTACCGAAAAACACACCACACACCAAATAGAACCATGCAATAGGGACAGAAAGAAAAGGAATGGGGGCCCAACCATCAGTGGAGTTACATCCAGATGACGAAGATGAGCGAGACGATGGCTAATGCGCAAGCCATGCCGGCAAAGTGCTTGTTGCCGGGAGCAGAAGGAAGGAGTGTGGCTGTTGCGGAGAACAGGTCGCTCGTGGAGCGAATTCTAGGTGTTGTCGAGGCTGGTTGCTTCTCCTGCGTGGTGGCAATCTTCGGCGAGGACAGGTTGTTGTTTCGAGAGGGCACCTTTGCTTGGTTGGCATTGGCGTGCCTGCGTGCCGAGGCGCTGCGAGGTTGCTGGCGGCGAGCGAAGGGCTGAAGCTCGATATTACGAGGTGGCTTGCCGAGGAGGGCTTGGTCGTGTTTGGCGTCGCCCTTCAATCGTTGCGCCACCATCTCAGCAGGTGTTTCTCGGAGGGCGGGCATACTCAGGTATTTCGCATCGACTTCAGACAAGTGACCAAACATGACCTTCGCACAAGCATCCATCTGGGTCTGGTTACAAACCGGAGCGACCTAGAATGCCATGTCAGCAGGCGGCCGGGTATTCGTGATCAGGCAAAACTCACGTGGAGGTCATGGACCTGGAGAGTTTCGAAACCAGTCAAGATACAAGCAGTGGCATCCTTGGACAGTGACAGGAGCCCACCGCGTGAGGCGTCCCAGCCAGCATGGCAGGCTAGGACAGTCTTCGCGTCGAGCAGACCACCTTGGCATTGTTCAGATCCTACGAGCAATTCGTCTGATGAGGCTTGGGTTAGCACATGTCCAAGTGCAGGGTCGCGCAGAAGCAAAGGGACTGACTTGGAGGCAATTGGCAGGTGAGACCTGTGTCAACGGGTGCGAGGGCAGCCCCAGCGCCTAGCAGCGCCGAAGCGACTATAGAGTACCGCATGTTGTCTAGAGCATGAGGTGGTGTGTTCGAGCAGGTTCCGAAGCGAGTGTGACTGTCGCGCAGAGCTGACGTGCCGAGCGAGCAGGAACAGGAGCAGAAGCAGTGATCGTGAGGGTGATTGTAGTGGTAGCAAAGATTTGCGATTAAGCTCAGTCGTCAGGGTCAACCGATGGCGGGGGAGGGGATCCGGTCCAGAGCTCTGGCGCAGAGTGCCTCGCTCGTTCCTCCTGGTCTGGACAGCCTTGGGAATGTCTTTGCGCTGTCGAGTTGCCCCACGGTCCACGAGGTTCTGAGGAATGTTTCGCTGGGTGACCCCGTTCTTCCCCGGCCAACTGAAACGAGTGATGGGGTGCGGGTCAGGGTTGTTTTTTTGTTTTTTTTTTTGTCAAGGGCGAGATCCGAGACTGCCGTCGAGTCGGGCTGTCAGGTCAATTGAGTCGAGATTTCGCGGTGGGAGCTTGAGAGCCAAGCTTGAGCTGTCGAGATGTAGGCGGAGCAGAACTAACGATTGTATTCTGGGGAGAGCTTCAAGCCAGACGCAGCGGGGAGGAGGGAGCGTCTGCCTTGAGGGGGTCCCGCGGGATGTCTTTAAAAAAAGTGGCCTGGCCTTGCCTTGGAAGAAGGGTAGCCTTGGGACCTTGTGAGCCGATCCCGGTATGGTACTGGATGGAACTGGAGCGGCGAGCGAGTGATGAAGCGAGAGAGGGAGAGAGATAAAGTAACGCACTAGAAGGCTAGCAGCGAAACCCCATGGTCTGACTAGTAAAGCAGGCCGCGACCACAGTGGCGGGCAGAGTCAATCAAGAAAGATCTTGTTTTCGGGTGTCTTGGGTTTTTCTCTCTCTTTCTCTCTGGTCCTAGTCCTGGTCCTGGTCCTGGTCCTGGTCCTTGAAGGCCGGGCCCGTCATGTCCTGCAGTACTACGTTAGGTCGAGTCTTTGTCAAGGGGGAAGGTCGAGGGAAGGATGAAGCGTGAGTGGCTGCAAACGATTGAAGCTCCAGCGAAAAGATGGAGCATGGACGGAAACGCGTGGAGCAACGAGGGGCGCGCAGTGGACCGACGTTCGAGTCCAGGCGGAAGCTGCGAGCGTGGAGTGATCCTAGCGCGGGCCGATTGCAGGGATTTCTCCTCGTGTGAGGAAGGGGGGGGAGGTGGACCTGCACCTGCCATTGGCTGCACCTCCTGCAGAGGCACTTTGGCAACCATTCTACGTCATGTCGCGATACATCCTTGTCAATGGGCAAGATAAGCAATCTGCTACGGGAGGGAGGGACATGGGGGGAAACATGACGGCACAACTCATTCTGGGCTCCTCTGCCGCTCGACACGTCCGGTTCTTTTGACTCGAGCTGCAATCTGGCCATGGCTGACCGTCCATCACCTGTGCCGCGCCATTTGCAGTGCAACGCTAATCCGGCAACTCGATAAACGGACCTGCTTTTTACGATGCAGGACAAACAAGATGATCTTCGGCAGACGTGCAGCGCATGCAGTGCTGAGGACATCCCGCACTAGAGACCTCGTACCGGTACCTGTACAAGCACACAACCCGCCGCGCGGCGACCCCTCCTCCTACCCCCAAAGCTGGACGGTGATCCGAGGCAACCTATGGAACCCCGACCCTGATTTTCTCTGCTACTATTCGTCGCCGAACTACCACCCTTAGTCAAGTCAAGAGGTACATGTAGAGGGAGGGAGAAAAAAAGTCAATGGCCGATCTCGCGAAAACCGGTTGGATCTCTGGAACTTGATCCATGCTTCGATAGTCCGAGGATGTGACTGTCCGTATACTCTAGACGTCGCCATCAGATCCCTGTTCTGTAATTCGCTCGCTGCCTGGATTCGACCTTGACGCATGTATATGAATGTCAAAAGCTGCATGTTGAACAGGGTGCCTAGGCGGGTGTTCATCACCATGGGTACTCCACATGATGTTCAAGTTTCTGTCCAGCAACGCCTCAGCCAGGTCGTAGCGCTCTTGTTCGCAGTATATGTTGGCCATTTGTCTTTCCATGATAAGGGTTGGGGTGCCGCTCTCGCCAAACACATGCCGGGCCATCTCAATTGTGTGAGCCCCAAGCTTTTCAGCCTCGTCGATTCGGCCCTGTTGTACGTACATGGACACCAAATCATTTGTGATCGCTAGCGCCGCGTTACTCTGTTCGCCATGGCGCCTCTCTGATGTTTCCAGCAAATAGGCAAATGTCTCTTCGGCCTTGACAAGTTGTCCTGTCATCGTGTACAATATCCCTAGCACACGCAGAGACCACCGTATGTCGTCATGTTCTTTGTCTAATATTCTTTTGCGTAGACTGAGTGCCGTCCCGATCAATCTCAGGGCTCTTGAGGCCTTCCCGATTTAGAGCATGTACCATGCCATGTTGTGCATGAGTCTAGCTCGGTCAATCGAGGACTCTGAATCGGGAGCTTCCCGGTCCACGAGCTTTTGGAAATGAGGTAACAGCGCCTGACATCTTTCCCAGGTCCCAAGTTCTCCGTCGGGAAAGTTGATGGCTGCCAAGCGTATAAACTGTTTCCTCCACCGCTCCGGCTCGTCAAATTTTGCTAGCCATTCTTGTGTGCAGAACTGAACAAGGGCATGCATGTCGTACAAGCCCTTTGTGGTTGTGGGAGCGATGAGAGAATAGCCCATGAGAGCATCAAGGTCGCGTTGGAGTTGGACGTCGGAATTAGCTTCGGGCTGGTCAGGCAATTGATTGTCTTGCGAGGACCACTCTCGTTGACTTAAGTCATGCTTGCTTCTAGGAGAAAGGCCGAGGTAGCCCTGGAGAAGTTCTTCGAGGATGTTCTGGGAGTGAAAGAAGCTCATGAGCGACAGTAGTTCGGCTGACGACGGGCTCTCTTGACGAATCTGTTCAAAAGTGATCTGCCAGGTGACGACAATGGAGTTTGATGCGCTATCCAGTCTCCTCACGTCTCCAGAGTCCTTGCTTAAGAGATTCCCTTGCCACGCCTCGTTCTTCCGGAAATTCTGGATATACGACTGGATAGATACTCGAGGGGCTCGGCGGTTGATGTACGCGACCGCCTGGGTGACGGCAAGCGGGATCAACTCAAGGATCTGAATAAGTTTCTCTGCGGCGGTCTTTTCGTAAACGAAGGTCGCATTAGTGTGGACAAGCTGTAAACATTCGGCCTGGCCCATAGTTGGTATTTGAATGACAGAATGATGACCACCTGTCAGCTTTTCTGCGGCATTCATGCTTCGCGTCGTGACCAGGATTTTCCCATCTCCAGTCTTGGGTAAGTACGCTGCTAGAGGCTCATGCGTCTCGTGACTACTGTCTGAACTGGTACTCTGGGTGGTATCCGTAGCGAAGAATACGCCGACATCATCGGCGTTATCAAGGATCATGAGCCACTTTCCAGACTTCGGACCTGTGAGCCAGTCTCGGACAAGTGTAAGGATATTTACACCAGGCTCATAGCGTCGAGGAATCTCGAGTAGGTCCGCCAGGGGGCGGTAGGACTACTCTATTGACGCTCGTGTGCTGCCGTGTACCCAGAAGACGTTGGTAGCGGCATCAGAGATTGTCTCTCGGACACGATAAGCGAATTCGATGGCGATCTGGGACTTTCTGAGGCCTCTTAGTACGAGAAACAATGAAATACCAAGTCCCCCGTTGACGGCTCAATAGAAGAACGGGGCTTACCCAAAACCGCCCATGCCAACGAGGGATATACGTTGTCGAGAGCCTTTGTATTGGTCTTCCAATAATTGCATGAGGGTAGGCCGGTCGACGAACTCCGGATCGCGAGGGAACTGTATCGTGAAGCATGCTACGGGCAGATCAGGGCTAGGAGGTTTCTCAGGCGCCTTCTGTAAGGTATCTGCTCCATCAACCTCGTGTTTCTCTGTATGAGCCGAGTTTGGTCCATTTGTAGTGCATCCGTGATAACCCGCTGGTAGCGCTCAAAGTTCTGGACCATGGCATCGACGTCTTTCTTCTTGAATGGCCATTGGAGAGCTCGAGAGCCGATACGACGCATCCGCGATCCTGTGGCAGCGGGCTCTACTTTCGACTGCAGGGTGGAGAGATCGTTCTCACACTCGCCTAGAGTTCTTGCTACCTTTGCTAACGTGGGAAGTGAGCTGCTGGGTCCGGCTGGCGGGTTTCCGCTTGAAACGCGATCTTCTTCTAAAAGCTCGTTTGCAGCCTCCACCACGAAATGGAGTTTCTTGACATGACTTGACAGATGTTCGATCTCTTCTCGAGCACCAGTGACAGCGGTCGAATACTGGTAACATAATCTGGCAACCTGTGCAGACAGGTCAACCACGGCTATTACGTTAGCCGCGATACCAAGACCTTCCATGTCGAAGGACGCCAGCGTGGACGATCAAAGGCACGAAAAAAATAGAGAGACAGGGTCGATTCGCAAGAGCTGTGGATTCAGTGTCCAGGCGCTGTTTGCTGGGACCGATGTTTTCTGGCAGCCTTCAAAGAAGTGCTTGTGGCTATCAGAATGGTAAGACTGCTGATGTTGGGATCCTGGAGCCTTGTCTCGCCATGTGTCGAGCGGGGTAACGCGCGCGGTGCTGGCAGGAGCTGAAGTGTAGAAAGTGAAATCCGACAATCATAGGCTTGTCATGGTGATCAAGATGCAAGATGAATGCTGTATATTTGCCATTGGCTCGAGGCTGATGTACATCAACTTTGTGTGGCACAGAAAGTGAGAGACGGAGAAAACGACATGTCTGATTCAGGAGATCGACAACTTGCGGACAAACAGATACATGGCCAGCACATAGAGAGCGTCTAATAGCATAAGGATCTGGTCCCTAGGTGCTCAGTGGATGTGGGTTGAGAACGAGGAAAGCAAGCTGTGGTTGTGGCAGGTGGCAGGCAGAGGGGGCTTCCAGCATCGCAGCAGAAAAGGAAGGAGACGTGCCTCAATCTGGGTGTCCGTTCAAATGTGCGCACGCACGCAAAATGTCCCAAGCCTCATCGAAGAGAAAGAGCCCAGTTCACAAGCGGCGTACTGTTCAATGCCATTAGTTTGCCAGCGATGCAGACCTCGGCCGGGCTTAGCAGCGGGCAATATTGACGGCCAAACGGTTTCATGACGACGACAAGGGCTGGATGTGACATGCGAACAGACGCTCCGCCCCCATGACTACTTCTTGCCATTCAGCTCCCCCGATATATCGGATCCTCAAGTGCACCTAAGCTTACCTGCAACACCACCTGCACTGCATCTCATGTTAGGTAGTGGTTCCAAGACGTTGTAGCCTTGTAGGCATGTCGACGTTATTCGGAATGATCCACCACGAAGTTCCGACCAAATATACAGGAAACGCCACCGCTGCGTCAGCATGGTAATTATCAATTCCCCATCACGGCAAAAGGCTAACCTTTTAAAGCTGTTGATAATGTTCAAACATACACGCAAAGATCACTACCCTATTAGCAGCCGCTTCCCTTGGCCGGCGATGGGCAGGACGTCAGGGCATTTGCTCCCCCTGAAAACACCACCCAGAGCTTTATTTTTTTTTTTCAAAAACTTGAAAAAAAGCCCCGGGGAAACAAAGGGCGGGGGTTCTGTGCCCCCACTCAGAGAACACCTCACTGACCACAGGCTGCCAGGTGCGTCCCTGCTTCGAAACGAACTCTTTTCTTCTCTTGCGTTCGAGTTTGATGGTTTTCGGCAATCCCGTTGGTCAGGATTGCCTGTTGAGGCCTTTCCTTCCTTCGTGCGAGTTCCTGATCGCCAATCTCTGGCACAGGATCGCCAGTCCTTGTCTGGGGGAACCACCTTCGCACATGCCTCAGAGGGTGACGTCTCAATGGCTGGAGGCAGACTGTTTCTCACGAGTTGAACGGGGCTGAAGCACACCTGTGGGCTTCTTCGGTGAAGCGACTGTGGCGGTCAAAGTGTCCATCCGCTACTGCGCGTCATCCACTGTAACAGTTGATCTCTGTTCGCCGCTTGGCACTTTTTCTCGCGATCCATCCTCTTCTACGAAGCTGTCTTCAGCAGATCCATCAAGCCTCCCTCATGTCCAAGACCACTTCGCTCGCTCAACTTCTGCTTAGAGACCTCGGTGGCCCTGCTCGTCCACAAGACACTTGACGCCGTCGCCGACCAACTTGCTCGTGTCTGGGCCTTGAAGGACCCGGACCCGTCGGCGGCGGTGTGCCAGCCCTTCGGACGAAACTGACGCAGCGGCTTGAAGATGTGTCTACCTGTCGGTGCCTCGCGAGTGACGAGGCCTTCCCCCCGATCTATGTGGCAGCTGGACATGACTTAAACGACTCGCCGCCCGCCGTCTGGGTCAGGGGGCTGTTGTCTATCGTCATGTAGGCTGGCTGTCGTCGTGGAGGGTTCGTCGGCGAAGGTCATCTTTTGGCGTCACATAGCATCTGCTTTGATTTGTAGCGTGTGCTCTCTCTCAGAACCATTATACCCTTAACATGTCACTCAAGTTTTACAAGACACCAAAGGAAGATCATCCTTGGCGGTCGCCCGTTCAAGATGACACGTGCAGTCGCTACGCTGCGGCAGCCGCCAGGGCGAAGAAGTGGCTGCCTCCTACGTTACGCTTCGAACAAGTCGTCAGGAATCACACCATGCCGGTAGGCGCATGAGCCCCTCCTGCCTCATGGACGTCCTGCTAACTAGCAACAGCCCTGTTCTTTGAACGACTTTATAGATTACTTGGTCTATGTCGAACAGAACGCCGAGCCCCTGCAGTTTTTCCTCTGGTATTGCGGCTACGTCCAGAGCTGGATGGAGCTTGACGCCCATGAGCGTGCCCTCGTGCCTCGCTGGGATCCCGCCGACGCTGAGGCCCGCGCCGCTGCGAAGGCTGACGCCGACCGCAAGCGTAGAGGGCCCCGAGTCGCCATGTCAGGCCGCTACCGAAGGGTGCGCAACGCCAGCAAAGTCAGCAACATTCTCGAAATATTGGACGCCGACGGGGAGGAAAAGGAGGAGAAGGAGCTTTTGGGATCCGCGAGTCCCGCCTCCTCGAGGCCGTCCAGGAACTTTTCACGGCCATCGGCGCCCCCCGGCACCGTCGAGGCCTGGATATCACCTCGTGAGCTTCTCTGCCCGTACTCTCCTTGTCTAGCACACTGACATGTCTAGCCCACCAACCCTTCCGTGACGAGGTTACACAAATTCTAAACCACTACGTCGACCCTTCTGCCCCCCGCTCACTGGGCCTTACCCTTCGGGATCGCGCTGCCATCGCCGATGCAACCGCTCACACAACCCACCCGACCTCCCTACTCCCTGCTTTTGAAAAGGCCGACGCCATCCTCCGAGGCCACCTCCACCCAAACTTCATCCGCTCATCCATTGCCAACACAAACAGCCCAACGACCTACGTCCTGCGCGTGTCCGCTTGGCTCCTGTTGATGCTCGGCTTCAGCGCCGCAGCTGCACTAAACCTCTGCACCGCGCGGTTTGCGCTGAGCCGGTACTGGCGGATTGCGCCTTTCGCCTTGTGGGCACCCGGCTTCGCGATTCTTGTCGCCGCTGCCGACGGGTTGTCAATCTCACTGTACTTTGCTGGGAGGCGGCAGCTTCGTCCGTGGGAGGCACAACCCACACCGGCCGAGCTTGAGGACGCGAGCTGGCGCGGCCGCAGGGCGGCCCGGAGGGCCACCGCCGCGGCATCACCGGCGGGTGACGATCCACTGCGGAAGCCGAGCCTTCGGACCTTTGGTCCAGGTAACGGGTTCCGAAGCGAGTGGTGGGTGCGCGCCTATGCGAAGACGGGGCTTTGGTGGCGGATCTTTGAGACGACGAGACCCGTCGGCGAAGGGGAGGTCAGAGTTCTCCAGGACGGGGTAGTGATTACCGCGTTTATCTGGGCGTTTGTGCTCGCTGGAGGGTTAGCGGCGGGATCGGTCTTTGTGCCTGCTTTGGATCCGTGGACGATGAAGGTGATGTGATTGACTGCGGAGGCTATAGTAGTAATAATATGCCATAATGTTAAGTTTAGCAGCAGATCGTCGAGGCATCAACTGAGATCCCCACGTCACTTCTCCACCAAAGGGGCACTTGGAAACTTTACTTGATGCTCCGAACGGAGCCGCGATGCAAGGGATGAGTTATCTTCGCTAATAGAGGGGGTCATTAATCCCGAACTGCTGAAACGTGGAGCAGATGCGATTTCGAACAAATTCAAGTATAGAAATAGTGAATTGATAGCAATGTCTGTAGGATTCAGGCAGTTAGAACAGCCTTAGACTTCAGAGTCAGCCGCAGACGTCTTGAGAACCCTTGCGGATTGGGCCATCTGTCGTATCATGGAAGGTTTGCGAGACCGACTCAGTCACTCCACTCGGCTGAAACGAATAGTCTGCTCGATGATTCTCTGATCTTGTTATCGTGATGTATTGAGCACCTCGTACCTTGCACACAAAACATGAAGTTTCGGGGCACATCCACTTTGTGTGGTTCGGACAAGACAAACAGTGGAAGAGAGATGCGGCTCGCGTGGCACAGCGCTTTACGACGACAAAATCAACCAAGAGAGATATAATGCACAGACAACGCAAGGCTTGCTCAGGCAGACTTCGGATCCATGGTGTATCCATACACAGGGCCTGCAGCCAGACGGGCGCAGGTACTTTGCCTGAGTCGTCTGCGGTGCGAGCCGCCCAGTGGACTAGGTGAGTGCTCGGCCAGGCTCTTTTCAGCGCCCGCAGACACCGGAGGGGCGTGCAAAATTCGCTGGCACATGTATTTCGGGAGCTGAAAAGCCAAGGCCATGTGTGACCTATAGATATGCTGTTCGTCGCCAATTGCGGGCGCTGGATATGAATGACCAGGTTGGCGATGGTGGTGACCTCGGAATGACTTCACAACAAGGTCAACACCAAAGTGTCAGAAGCGTCTTTCGGAGTAGAAGTTTGGAATATGGAGAGAAGACGCCACATGGGATGCCTACAGGCCAAAAAGGCCGTCACGTGGGGCTGGGGGCTGGGGCTGGAACAGCTTCGACGCCGCCCTCATGAGACGAGACCAGTTCAAGTTCGTGTGCAGGCGTCTTGTTGCGTGTCGACAACCTCCGCGGCGACCTCGTGGGCACCTCGCAAGGCGTGCGTGTTGGTTGTGCTCCCAGGCTGTTCCGAGACGGGGGCCAGCGCGCGCTGCAGAAAATGGGTCGACAGCTCGCGTGCGCCGGCCATTGATGGGCCGCGGGTCAAATGAGGGTGGGACGCCGTGCGGGCGTCCGGGGATCATCCTGCGCGTGCCAGGCTGCCGGTTCCCACCACTTTGCGCGCCATCCAGGCTTGCCAGGCCATGTTGCGGGCGCTCTTCTGCATCGCTACGGCGTGTGATTTGTCCGTTGGTGAGTCCGGAGGGGAAATCGGTTCGCTGTTCTGAGGGGAATGCGGTCCTAGCCGATGCTGTGACTTTGTCTGCCTGGGTCCGGGGCCAGAGGACATGGCTCGACGGTTGGAACTCGTTGGCAGATGGCGCGGAAGAAGGGCATCTCCGGATCTGCCTCATGCCAGGTCAGTATACCAAGAAACTGATGTCAGAAACCTCAAATGCCGTGGGGGATCTGTGATGGCTTGGGTTGGGGGGTCGGATCAGGGACCCCACTATACCTAGGTACCCACGCAGTGCCGTCTGAATGGAAAAGAATAGATGTACTGTTGAAGTACTGAGGGGTGATATGGCAATAGGTTGGCTTCCTGGTGTCTTCAACCCCCGCGCTCCTCACGGCCAAAAACGAGGAGGAATCGAAAAAGCTTTGCGACACTAGCATTTGCCAAGAAGACCCAGCGAGCGGTCTCCCGCATGCCTTGACAGAAGGGGGGGGAAAGATGCCAGGGCAGGACGAGTCGGGCATGTCGCAGTGCGTCCATCCTTCGAAACCCACAGGGTACATAGCAGTACATGGACGTGACCGGGCACATGCTATGCCTGAACATGCAGGCAGGCAAAAGACGCACAATGCGGACAGAAAACACGCAGTAAACCGAAGCAGATGGGAAATTTGAATTGCCGAAAATCTTTTTGGAAGAAGACCCAACGAGACGGCTCGACGTGGCTTGCCAGACAAGGTGTGTTGCCTTTGGGAAGGAAGGTACATAGGTAGGTAGGGCAGGTACCTCGAGGCAAGCGCCTCCAGGTACCTTGCCGTGATGATGGTCGGGCAGGTGCAACGCAAGGTGGAGAGCAGGAACATCGGAAGCCAGCTCTTGCCGACCTCCACTAAATAGTCGAGTCTCACCTTATCTTGTCCCCCCACCAGGCCAATCAATCCCCCGAAGACCTTGCCAGCTACAGGTAGACGAGTCCTTCGCCCAGAGAGGATAAGGCCCGCCACCACCTCCTCGCATCTGGTCTGGTCTGGTGTCATGGTCATGTCCCTCCTCGCCGCAGCACCCTACAACGACTCACGAGATCCGCATATTCATCTCGGTCAACTCTCACTGCGACGACCTGCTGCTGCTGCTGCTGCTGCTGCTGCTGCTTCTGGAGACTCCCGACAGATTCAAGTCATCTTCTTCGAGTCGAACAGCAACTATACGTCTGTGTGTCTCTTCAAAACGCCTCCTCGCCCTACCAAGACTCTCATCTCACGCACGCCCCCTTGATTGCCTCACGACACCCAGGCACCTTTCGTCACAGAGGCGCACCACAAGTGCGCTGATATTTCCCCAGCCTCGAGCTGAAGCAACCTGCCCTCAGTGATGCAGGTCCCGCGACAGCCGCGGCAGCGTTAAGATGGTTCAATGGTGGGATCCCGCCAAAATCGAGGCCACTGTCACCCGGCAGTTTGTCTGTCAGCACCTCGCTGCGAGCGACGTTGAGCGTCTGGATCGCTCTCTGACCTTTGGGGGAGACCTGACTGACGGCACCTACTGGGAATGGATCGATACCAAGGCCAAATGCATCTTCCTCATACTTGTCGACCTGAAGATGGCCAGTCAGATCTTTGGCATCATTGACAACTCGTGGGATGACCACGACCTTCCGATATCGCAGGAGCAGGTCGACCAGCTCGCGCAGGCACCAAATCGCTCCGGCCGGGTTGACCGCAGGTTCTTCCAACGCCAATTCCATTACCTCATCAAACCGCTGCAAAGAGGAGACCACATTGTCTTTACGAATCATGAAGTTGTGCCGCTCGAGGTCATCGATCGACGAGCAGGCCTCGCTAGTAGTCACACCATTGACAAGGTTGTGTTGCCCAACTGCCCGGGCCAGGTCTTTTGCCGGCGCCGGATCCCTCTCGGCAATAGTCTCGGCAGCTTGACGCCGGTCGACTTTGAGGAAGCCGTGAACAGCATCAGGAGCATCCAAAACCAACATCTCGTGTCCTGCCACGCATCATACACACATAGCGGAGCCGGTTACGTTCTCTTCACACCCGCCACTGACACAACGTTGAAGTCGTTTCTTGGCAATACACCTTCCATCTTCAAAAACCAGTCCAAGAAGGACCGCAGGCAACTTGTCATGAACTGGATACTATGCCTCGTTGACACGTTGGCGTATATTCATGGCCGGGGACTCTCACATGGCAACATTAAGCTGTCAACCATCCTCTTCACCAGCCAACTTGACATCTTTTACTCTGACTTCACACGGCTCCATGCTGAGGCACTGTCAGGACAGGCGGACAAGAGCGCCTTCGACCGCGAGTCGTACGACTATGCGGCCCCGGAACAGTGGTTTCGCCCGACCACTGGGCCAACGAGTCCCGGCGGGCGCAAGGCGACCTTGTCCATGTCGGTCTCGCCAGAGTCGCATACGAGTTTCTCCATATCTCGCAGTGATAACCCGAATAACCCCAACTCGATGCTTCAATCTCCAAATCCATACCTGAATCCGCAAGCAGCCGACATCTTCTCACTCGGATGTGTTCTGCTCGAGATGGTAAGTTTCATTCTGAAAAAGAGCACCAAATCTTTCGCGACGCACCGGGCATCGAAGAACAAGACAGCAGGCCGTGGGGGTGCAGTTCCGGACTCATCTTTCCATAAAAACCTCGGCCAAGTGGAATCTTGGATGACGATACTTGCCAAAGAAGCGTCTAAGAAAACGTCTGAGAGTGACGGCGCCGCGGTCCTCCGCGGCGTGGTGCCCATGCTGCACATTATCGCCTGTATGCTCTCGGCGAATCCCATCGATCGTCCACCGGCGGACGAAATCCAGCATCGGGTTTACCAGATTCTGACACAGAACGCCGGCATCACTGAGCCGCACTGCGTCCATCGCTATGGCGGTTGGGATCTCGGATTCAACCACTTGCGCATTTCGTCGCCGACACCAGGGTTTGAAGGAGGATTGATGCCGCATCGTCAAAACACATCAGCCTCGCGGTCCAGTCGAGACAGCGAGAGCTTCAGCGGGCGACGACTAGGCCACTCCCGGACCAACAGCAGCGGCGCCCTGTCGGAAAACAGCCAGGCCAGCAGCTCAGCAAGCAGCGATAGGGGAGGCCAGGAAACCGAGCTCGGGTCGAGCGCGGGCTCCATGTCCGTGTCGGGGTCTGGATTCGCCGCGTTGAGGAATATCCGCGTGCCTCAGGTGAGGTCACCCGGGAAATGGCAAACTTCGCCAACGGCGGGGTCGCCGTCAATGTACACAGGGCAGGGCGGGCAGGCGTCGGTGTACTGACTGGTAATCAGGAGGAGTGACGATGACGATCATGACTGTCGCCTGTGACGCTGGGACGAAACTTTCCATGTGTATGATGAGACTGGGTCATCTGGCGCAATAATGTATGGGCAGCAAGGCGTTACATTCTCTCGATGAAGGCATGCACTATGGCATTGCGAGGGAGATGATGGTTTCGGTAGGATATCTAAACTTTCGACGAGCGTTTTGCACCAAGGGCGGCACTATTTAAAGACTTCCCACAATGCACTGTGATCAGCTCGGGAGAGACGCTGCTCTTCTGTGACCTGTTTGCAGCACCCTGTCATGTTTGACCTTGGGATCATGTCCATGGGATGGCACGATTCGCAGCAATTGTTACGTGACGGCGATGCATCGAATGGGGAGGTTTCCCATGACAAACGGAAAACCAATGAGCTGCACGTAGAAGTCTAAATGCGGCGTTGTGCATCGAGGTAGGCACACAAGGTTTGCCAAATGCCTGTATGCCTCGCAGACCCGACCCCAGGTTGTTCCCCGGATAGACTCCCCGTCGTGCGCACAGCCGCCTCCACGTTGGGAGACTTCAAATGCGGTCAAGCGACTGTGGCCCAGTGGCTTTGGGAGTGGAAATGTCGAGGGCGTCTGCAAGGAAAGCCACATGCCCAATTCATCAAAGTCATCTGGCGGTCATGAAGCCCCGATGCAGCACAAAAGGGGGATACGATTCACGGAGATGAGCTGAGATTGGCTAGGTTGCTTTCTCGACGACTGGTGAGTCTTGTGTCTTGATAATTCCCAGCGATAGTCGTCCACAACGTTTATCGTTTGATGGTTGATGGTCCGTGTGTTGACAGGTACATGCACCGACGCCGAACTTTTGGTGGTCCGTCAAGTACATGTCATCACATCACCAAGGGGGGAACAGAGCCGCGGACCCACACGGGTTTCTCGGAGGAGGCGCTTCCACGTACATCATTCTTGCCCTGTGCACTCCCAGGCTCGAGATTACCAGCTCCTTTCCAACAACAAACCTAAGTTGTCCCATCTTCCGATTCCTCCCTCTTCTGAGCCCTCTCAGGTGTCGCAATCTGCCACGGAGACGAAGTGCTCGATGATTGCCTAATCACCCCTCGATTGCGCGCTCCTCAGCATGCCTCACTCGTCGCAAGCTCCGCTCATCTCGGACCGGCAGGACCGGGAGCGGGACGACAGACGACATGACGACGATGAAGAGCTACTCCGCCGGGATGACTACTACGATGATGGCGATGCCGACGCCGATGCCGACGCCGACCAGCATACCCTTCCCCCGCCGATAAAGACCACAGGCGTGCAGGCCAGCCTGTTCATCTGGCTGCTGACGTTTGCCGCCGGCATCAGCGGCCTGCTTTTTGGCTGTACGTTGCTGTGCCTGCCCCTTGTCGAGATGTGCTTCGTGCGTGCTAATTACCTGGCCAAGACGACACGGGCGTCATCTCAGCAACTCTCGTCTCCATCGACAGCTCCCTCTCGAACCGCGAGCTCACATCCTTCGACAAATCCATCATCACGTCAAGCACGGCCCTATTCGCCCTTATCGTCTCCCCTTTCTCCTCCGTCGTAGCCGACGCCCTCGGTCGCCGCCGCGTCATTCTCCTCGCCGACTTTCTCTTCGTCCTCGGCGCCCTCCTCCAAGCTGGCGCTCACACGGTCACCTTCATGGTCTTTGGCCGCGCCGTCGTTGGTGCGGCTGTCGGCGCGGCGAGCTTCGTCGTGCCGCTCTACATTGCCGAGATCGCCCCTGCCACCCACCGCGGCCGCCTCGTCACGACCAACGTCCTCTTCATCACCCTCGGCCAGGTCGTCGCCTACATCGTCGGATGGGGGTTCTCCGTCTACGGCGATAAAGACACTGCCTGGCGCTGGATGGTCGGACTAGGTGCCGTGCCCGCGGCGGTGCAGATGGCTGTTGTCATGTACATGCCCGAGACGCCACGCTGGCTCGTCATGGTCGGGCGTTCGGCGCTCGCGAAGCGTGTTGTGCACCGGGTTGCCGGCGGCCGACCCTCTGCCATGCGTGACGCAGAGGCCGTGGTGCAAGAAATTGAGATTGAGATCCGTTCTGAGCGGGAGGTCATGCGCCGCGAGGGCTCGCCGCGTCTCGAGTGGTGGGGTGGATGGCAGGAGCTGCTGACCGTCGGACGCAACAGGCGGGCACTTGCCATTGCTTGCCTGCTGCAGGGCCTGCAGCAGCTGTGCGGCTTCAACTCCCTCATGTACTTTTCAGCGACCATCTTCCGGCTCGTCGGCTTCCATACGCCGACGTTGACGGCTCTCAGCGTGGCCGTGACGAACTTTGTCTTCACCGTGGCGGCATTGCTCCTCATTGACAAGATTGGCAGACGTCGCATCATGCTCTACTCGCTGCCGTTCATGATTGCGGGTCTGCTGCTCGCGGCGTACGGCTTCTCGTTCCTCGACCTGGCTCCGTCGACGTCGACATCGACCGCGGGCGATGCACCCCCACCGGACGCAGGCGACCCCGGCAGCACCCCTTCCGTACCCGGCGGAGGCGAGGACGAGGGCGCCTCGACGTCCCACGGCGCAGCTCTCATGATCCTCGTCAGCATCATGATATATGTAGCCGCCTACGCCATTGGCCTCGGCAACGTGCCCTGGATGCAGAGCGAGCTCTTTCCGCTGGCCGTGCGGTCCATCGGCAGCGGTGTCGCGACGTCGACCAACTGGGCGGCCAATTTCGTCGTCGGCTTAACATTTTTGCCGCTCATGGACATTCTGACGCCGCCATGGACTTTCACGCTCTACGCCCTACTTTGCACCATAGGCTATGCCCTTGTCTGGCGTATATATCCCGAGACGGCAGGGTTGAGTCTTGAAGAGGCGACGGGGCTGTTGGATAATGGATGGGGAGTACGCAGGTGATGGGTTTTTTGGGTGTAATAATCACGACTCCATGAATTATACGTTATTTGAGCATGTATATGCTCGAGTTTGGGTTTGAAAGCTGTACTCCGTATTGTGATGATGATTGACTCGTGGCCATGAATTCTGGACGTGAATCAGTGTGTATTGTTTTCGTACCAGTAGAACCGGGCCGCCATTGTGACGACTATAGAGAACCGCGCATATAGCCAAACCCATGGAACGGTGCGGCCCATGGCGGCTGTTGACGGCCATCGACTCGCCAGCCAAAATAAATAAATAAAAATCCCCTGATTCCTCACAAATGCGACGTCGTAGACAAGCGGTGGTCTGAGCGGGACGGTTGAGTTTCTGTCCGACCGATTCGGAATGGGCGTCACATCGTGCCATCAGAGTTTTGGACGTTTCGATCATTCCCTACCTAATCAGAGTTTCAAGCTGCAGGACGGCATTCCCCTGCCACCAGCCGACTGACGTCAACGAAGCCCGCTGTGAAGGCGCGAGTCGTGACACGCCAGAACCCTGCTGTCAGCTGATGGACGACCGGGGACTTCAACGTCACGATTCATCCATCTGTGGTTTCTGATTGGATTTTGCCCCGTCGCCGGCCGCAGTATTTTTTTTTTTTTGGGGCAGAAAATTCATTGTGAGCTTGGTTTTGGAGATCGGTACGGGCTTGGAAATTTCTCGTTCGGTTCTTCGTACTCCCTGCTGCCGCCCACTTGCCGATTTGAGCCCCGGGAGGTGAAGACGCGGCAACCGTCGGCCTCTGGTGGAGTGAAGGAGATGGGAGGGGAAGATATAGTGTTCCAGACCTTTGTGTGCATGTCCGAGTTCCCTGGGGCTGGGATGCAATGCCCACTGAGAAAAGACGCTTCCATTGTTCGACTGGAGCGGCAGGCTAGGGCTGCAGATTGCAACATGCGCCATGTGGCACCACCCGCGACTTGGCTTTCTTTCCTCCTCTGCCTCAGGACCCTCACTGCCCTTGTCTTCATATCTTCAGCCGGGCTGGAGTACCGAAGATGGTACTTGGGTAGGTATCTAACGTGCATGGGTGAAGCTGACGTCACCAGGCTCGGCCGAGTTTTCGTGCATGTTGCTTACTGAGAATGTGAACATGGGCCAGACGAACATGCGCGTCCATGGGCAAGGGCGCGCGGCAGATTCGTCGGGACGGGAGATCGGAAGGGCAACGGGGGCGCGAAGGGGCGAAAGGGCGACGTCCGAGGGATCTGCAGAATGGGATTCGGTGTTTGTGACAGGGCGACGGCCGATCGAACAGTGAGCGCAGTGCCGGCCTGAGTTGGCAGCGTGGCACAGCAGCACAGCAAAGCACAGCACCGAAAGTGCACTGTAAAAGAACCACTTTGCAGGGGAGGGAGGGGATCCACAGCAACGGGGAGGGCAGAGAAAACACGAGTCGGCAAGGCCGGGCGGTGCCGAGGCAGTGGACAGCACGCAGGGTGCCCCCGCCCGGACCCCTCGTGTTGGCCAATGGACGATCGAGAAGAGATCTGCCTTGGGTAGCGGCCGCGTGCGGCAGTCGCAGTGCAGGCGCGCGGAATGCACAATGGACTCCACTCTTGGTTTTGCCTGTGTACCTACAGGCCTACAGGAAGCATTCCTTTCGTCGTCCGTTTCCTGCCGTTGCCGTGTTTCCCGGGAGAGAAAAGATTTTTAGATTATACCCCTGCGGCGTTGGGCTGTTTTCGTACTGAGTGGCCCTGATTTGCGTCCAGATGGAACGATATGGGCCCTTGTTTACACAGATTGGGGTGATGACCATGACATGGTTCGAAGGAACAGTTCCAGTCGGCATCATGTTAAGAACGCCGCGCCCAAGGGTATAAGCTCCCCAAGGCCAAGGGGATGGACGAAAGGCGGATTTAGGGACATGCTTACTTAGCTTCTCTGCTATCTCCATCAGCTGCCTTTCTATTTCATAAGGTACTTCGTACTGCATTCTGGTCATCCAATTGGAAAGAGAAAAAAGGCCCTCTTACTCACCCCGCGAAAAAGTCGGCATCGTGCAGAGGCAGTTGCAGTCGCGCATCGCCGGGGCCCTGACGTAATTGGGCGCTCAACACATCCAGCACCAGAGAAGCTAGAAGCTAGCTCCGAGGCCTGCCCTCGCGACTCGTATGAGCTCGATACCACCACACCCGCTACCTATCCTCTTTCTCTGCTCTACCTTGCCTTGCCTCGTTCGCCCGGCTAGGACCGAAACCTAATAACCCTTCCATCGCCCCATCGATCATTGCCGATTTTCTGGCCCCTCCTCCCCTCTCCTCTTACTACCACATCGAGTGTCTTCGTCGCGAGATCATACCCACGCCAACGATTCCCATTGACCTCCATAGCACTACCTAGCCTGACTGGCTTCACGCTCTTCACCCCCCGAACACTCCCTCTCCCTTTCGCCTCCACGAGCTACACCAACATGGATGAGGTAGATCGCGAGCTCAGCAACGCCGCTCGAGCAGCGTCGCCGGGCCGCTACCAGTCTCGCGGTAGCCACGAGATTGAGCGCGTCCTTTCTGCTTCCACCACTTCGAGCACATCCACCTCTTCCTCCGGCGAACCCTACCGCCGCAACACGGGCATCAGCCGCGTGTCAACTCAGAATGACCTCGAGCGCCACCCCACGGCGCTCAGCCGCATCGCCACCCAGCGCAGCCAACACAGCAACACTGTCGGACGGAGCATCAAGAGCAGAGAATCGAGGAAACCTCTTCCCAACTTTGGCGCCGGAAAGCCCTATCCGCCTCACCTACCCGACCAGGAGGAGTATGTCGTCGAGTTTGACGGGCCCAGCGACCCGCTGCATGCCCAGAACTGGCCCATGAAGAAGAAGTGAGTCTCAGATGCTTTTTTGTCTTGGATCTGGTGTGACCCAAGATTTTTTTTTTTTTTTTTTTGGTCTCGTCGCTGACACGCGTTTCCAGGATGATCACAGCCGTCATGCTGGCTTACACGACATTAACATCCGCCTTTGGCTCGAGTATCTTCTCCGCCGCCACGGCGCCCATCAGCGTCCAGTACAACGTCTCCAACGAGGTCGGCATCTTGGGCGTCTCCTTCTACGTTCTCGGCTTTGCGACAGGTCCCACGCTCTGGGCGCCCCTCTCTGAGCTGAAGGGTCGTCGTCTACCGCTGGTCCTCTCCATGTTCGGCTTTTCTCTCTTCTCCATCGCTGCAGCTACAGGCAAGGATATCCAGACGATTCTCATCTGCCGTTTCTTCAGCGGTTTCTTCGGCGCCTGCCCCCTGGCCGTCGTCGCCGCCGTCTTCTCCGACATGTTCGACAACCGCACCCGTGGTGTCGCCGTCACAGTCTTCTCCATGGCCGTCTTCACCGGCCCTCTCCTCGCCCCCTTTGTCGGCGGCTTTATTGTCGAGTCGTACCTCGGCTGGCGCTGGACCCAATATCTCATCTCCATCATGGGCTTCTTCGCCTTCTTCCTCGACCTGTTCTTCCTCGAGGAAACGTATCCGCCCGTCATCCTCGTGAGCAAGGCCTCCGAGTTGCGCCGTCGCACCCGAAACTGGGGCATCCACGCCAAGCAGGAGGAAATCGAGGTCGACCTGCGGGAGCTCATCACCAAGAACTTCACTCGTCCCATGCGCCTGCTGTTCTTCGAGCCCATTGTCACCCTCTTGTCCATCTACATGGCTTTCATCTACGGTATTCTGTACCTCTTCCTGACCGCCTACCCCTTTGTGTTCCGCGGCGTTCACGGCTTTAACGCAGGCGAGTCCGGCCTCGCCTTCTTCGGTATGGTCACTGGTCAGCTCATTGCCGGTACCGTCGTGCTCCTCCAGCAGCCCTGGTACCTGCGCAAGCTCAAGGCCAACAATGGCGTGCCTGTGCCCGAGTGGCGTCTGCCGTCCGTCATTGTCGGTGGTGTCTTCTTCGCCGCCGGCATCTTCTGGTTCGGCTGGTCCGGCTACCGTCGCGACATCCACTGGATCGTGCCAGCCCTCAGCGGTCTCTTCACCGGTTTTGGTCTCATGTCGATCTTCCTGCAGTCGCTCAACTACCTCGTCGACTCATACCTCATGTTCGCCGCGTCGGCCATTGCCGGCAACACCTTCCTGCGATCGCTCTGCGGCGCCGGCTTTCCCCTGTTCGCGACGCAGATGTTCGAGGGCATGGGCATAGAGTGGGCCTCGACGCTGCTGGGCTGCATCGCCGCCGCGCTCGCTCCCATTCCCCTCATCTTCTGGCTCTACGGCCACAAGATCCGCGCCAAGAGCGCCTACGCACCGACCTTCCAGGCCCAGGCCGAGGAGCCGGTCGAGCCCGAAGACTTGCCAGGTGCCGTGCCGACGCAGTCGCAGACGGCTGTCAACGGAGCCAACGGCGTCAACGGACACCACGAGGAGGAGAAGCAGGAGGATCTCGCGGCGAGGGCGAACGCGCCAGCGACGAATGGCGACAGGAGCAATGCTGTTTGAGGGTTCTCGAGAGAGGACAGGTTTGGAAAGACGGTGAGGTAAAAAAATATTAGTAATAACAACAGGAAGAGTCACAAAATGGTCGTCTGCTGTTGTCCCGACAAAATGGGTGGTTGCAAGCGTTTGGCTTTCTGTTCGGATTAATTCTACTACCAATCATACGTACTTGTGCTCAAAATGTTGTGTCTGGTGGCTCAAGTGTTGTGGAAAGAGGAAAACGAAGCAGCCATTGGTGATCAGTCAAATTTGTCTCATGATGTACAAAAATTTGCATTACAGAAAAATCTAGCGCAGACATGTCCCTTCCCTGACTTTTCGTCATGATATGTATGTATATCTATGTATGCTGTGATATGTGTCCCGGCGCCGCGGCCATTCGTTCCCATGCTACTCGGTCTACAAATACCCTCCTCGGGGCGCCGAGAGGAACGAGGCCAAGGCGGGGGCTAGGCCGGCAAGTCGGTTTTATCGAAGGTCGGGCGGAGTCGAAGAGAA